TATATATATATATTTAATTGTCAACTGTACAATATTAAAATACTCAAGAAAGCATAGTAAACATAATGTAAGTTACCTCAATTTCTTTAAAATGCATTTAACTAAATCTGCTTGCCCTTTTTCTCCAAATAGCCTTAATATAAACACAATCTAGTAACCTCTTCCCAGCACATTAAATATTTATTATATGATGTTGCATTAAAGGAGAGGCAAACAGATGAAAAACAAATTAAATACATATACGCGGCCTTGTTGCCTGTTTCAAAATGTGTATTTTTGTTCATTCAATCCTGAGATTTACACATCTCTGTCACACAGAACAGCCCTGTCTGGCAGGGCAGAAGACCTGATTTTTCCCTGCTGAGGTTATGTAATACTTGCAGGTCTTGTCCTTCCCCCAGCCTGTGACTGGACAGTGAAAGAAGAAGCAGACTCATAAGCTCATCTTTCTGTCATTCTGCTCTCTCCTCTCATTCACATGTTACTTGTTAGCACATGAGCACTGCCGTACAACTGATTGGCTTATTTGATTGGCTCATCAATTCACTGCTGCTATTCTCTATCCCCCTCTTTGCTCTGCTGTACAGGAAATCAAAAGAGGCTGATATCAAGTCAAGTCCAGGTACGTACACTGCTCGCAGTCAAAATAATGCATTCAATTATGTATTTATGAATACAGAGCTGCATTCGTTTATCACTTTTGTAACTACCTAAAATCCAGCTTTAACCTCCCTGGCGGTAATCCCGAGTTTGGCTCGGGGTTAATTTTCATTACCATAAGCAGCAACCCCGAGCCACACTCGGGATTACACTGTAGCGTCTTACCTTGTCCACGATCCTCACTATGTCCTCCAGCCGATGCCGGCATACGTCTTCCGGGTTCCGTCCCTTGCGAGCATCCGCGCCACAGGGGGGCGGAACCAGCGGGACATTTGAAAGTAAAAGAACAAAAAAAGAAAAAAAATAGAAACAAAAAAGGAAAAAAAATGAAATAATCAGACCGCCAGGGAGGTTAATTCACTGGCCATGCAGTAGACCTATGCTTGCAATTCTACATTCACCTGCTAAAAGTTGTTGTAATTATTGTCATAAAAAGATATGCCTGTTCTTAAGAAAATTACCACAAATATAACTGCATCCACACATTATCTATTAAGTAGAACATTCCTTCAAATGGGGGTCATAATTTATGCTAGTTATTGTCAGCTACTTTATCATTAAATTATATTTAATTTCAGGAAATGTTATGATTTCAACAAATCAGAAACTGGCTTTAAAAAAGTGAACTTGTATTCTACCCAGAACATTTAAACTAAGCTTTACCTCTGCAGAGTAGACACCAGGGAGGCCACATAGCACCTGAATTTAAATTGTCACCTATTTGATGCACTGCTGGTGCTCAATAAAAACTCCAGGATCCAGGGTATGTAGGAAGTCTGCAGGCCACACTCCTGACCTTCCACACAGCATAGCATTTCTTGCTTGAGGGACCTACTGTCAGGCCTGAACACTGTCAAATAGGTTGGGAGGTACACTTAAAGTGATACTAAACTCAGGAGTTAAATCTTAAAAATGCATTCAAGTTCCCTAACTATTAAGTAAAATGTAGTTTGTGTATCACTCAGCTGTAGATCCTCAAATCCTCTCTGAATTAGTGCTGACACTTCTTCCTTCTGGAGGGTGGCTACTTTTGTTACCCATGTTCCCTGTGTGTGTTGTAAAGTAGCCACCACTCCAAGGTCCCTCTCATGATGGACTACAATCTCATGTTTAGTTTACTAATTTGTATTCATTTGTATTGAGATTATAGTCAATCACAGGAGTGAACTTGGAGCTGTAGCCACACTCCAGAGGGAAGGACAGTGTCAGCACCAATTCACAGATGATTTGAGGATCTACAGCCGAGTGATACACATATAAGATACATGTTTCTTATTAGTTAAGGTACTTAAATGCATTTTTAAGATTTAACTCCAGAGTTTGGTGTCACTTCAAGTCAAATCAAATGGCAACTTTCTGAAAATCAGTATTTGCATATATATTTCTGTGAGATGGAGTTGAGCTGCAAAGCAGGGGGACAGTATTCATACAGGTTCTATGTGGCACCATATGGTGATTTTAATGCATGGGCAAGGGAGAATTGGATATGTTTAAGGAGGCACAGTTTTTACATTTATCAAATTAAGAAAGTTGCCAGAAAAGCCCCAAAGGGACAAAACTGTATGAAACTTATTTAAAGCACCTATGTGCAGCGAAAAGTCATGCAATAAACAGTTTAACGTTAGTAGTTAAAATACTGATTCAATTGCAAAAATCAGAAAATATATTGTTCAAAGTCTCTCCATCAACTGTAAATAGTATACATTTTATGGTGACTGTGAAGTATTGTTTCTGTCTCCAATTTTAATATTGTTAATATCTCACAGTAACAGATACACAAGCCTGTAATTTCTACACTTTTTCTGTAAGTCAAATTGCTCTTAAAAAATGTATTAAAATACATGCTGCTTGAAGTGTGAGCAATATTTCAGTCTAAAAACGTTAGTAAAGAGTATTATGTCACAATGTGTATTGTATCTCGAATTTGTGATTCAGAAGCTTAGAGAACTGAATTGAAAGTACAGCATAGACCCCAAGCAGCAAATTTTAAATCCTGCATGTATAAAATGTAGCTGATTCATAGGCCACCTAGGGTAACAGGATACAGACACAAAGGCATGGGATATGCATCTAAAGGTATGGTGAAAGGGAATAGAGATGTGAAGAATTGTATTTGGTGTATGTTAAATTATATCTGGGGAAAAAAAAAGATAAAAAGGTTTTTGTATTGGTGATCAGAATAATGTTGCCCCTTTTAAGTTAGAGAGATGAAAAATATATTAAACAAAATTTTGTATTAGTTATTTTAATTATAAAACATTACATACATTTTTGCATATAAATATTATGTGGATCTGCACTTTTTTGTGCTTTTTTTAAGTAAATAAATATGATGCAATGTACTTACCACAGTGACATTAAAAGCATAAAGGAGATCAAAGGGAAGAGCAGCAATTAAATCAATGACGAACCAAGTTGTTACATAGTGGATACAAATAGATCTCGCCTTAAATATAACTTGGCCAGACTTGCTGACATAAGTTGTTCGGAAATTTAAAATAATATCTGCTTGGCAAAGAAAGAAGAAATATAATATACAGTGCGATTATGTCAAGAATTACAAAAACAATGAATATAAGGCTTAAAATGTATTAAATAAATGTATTTTATCAAACTTGCATATACATTCATACATGGGTCCACACATTAAAGCAGTAGCATTACAATAAATGTCCCACAATGAGCATTTTGCAGCTCCTTGGTTTCTAAAAGGTACCAACATATCCTTTCAATGAGAGTATGTTTTTCATTAGGCGTGAGTTTAGGGATTTGTTTGTTTAGGGAAAAGAAAAGCTATCTTTCAAAACCTAATGGAGGATTTTCATTTCTTTTTAAAAGTGAAGCTATGTTTTTTTAAATGACTATGCTTTACAGTAAACTCCCCCTTATCCAGCATTTAAGCAACTGGCACTCTCAAGCAACAGGCACAAAATATCTGTCCTAATTTATTTAGTTGCTAATTAACTTATTTGTTTACATTCTGCTGCCGTCCAGCGGCCAGATTCTGCAGTCCACAGCAGAATGAAAACAATGGGGAGGAAAAGCCAGCCTGGTATTGTCCGTTTCAAATCGCAATAGCATGCTGGCTATTGCATCCGCCCACTGAGCAGAGGAGCGGACCAGAGTGAGAACTTTATCTCTCAGGTCCGCTCCTTTGCTTAGTGGCCGGGTGCAATAGCCAGCCTGCTATTGGCTATTGCAAATTGCTGTTGGCTATTGCAATTTGCAATAGCCAATAGCATTCTGGCTATATATCCCACCCACTTCCCGCTGTTTCTATTCACCTGCCGCCTGCAGAGTCTAGCCGGCAGATGAATGGGGCAGCAGGGTGTGAGGGGGTAGGCCACAGTGGGGGGTGTCTTGAGAGTTACTATTAACTCTAAATCAACCAGAAACTACAGTTATCTGGCATCTTCTGATATGTGGGTGCTGGATAACTGGGAGCTTACTGTATTTATTTATTTTTCTGTGGTAAAATCAACACTTGCAGCCAGCAAGTGGAGTTTTATGCAGGTTTTAGGCTAAATTTAGATGCAAATGTGTCATAGGAAGGTCACCCTAGTGTATTAAAACAGTCTGCTAGAAAGTATGAGGGTAGTGCTTGTCTTTCCTATTAGAAACATCTGATGCATATCAAACAAGATGTAATGGGCGCATGGATGGAGTACAAGTATTTGTAAAATAAACAATTTTCTACAAATAATTAAAACTTAAAAATAGAAAACACAATTTAACCCAAAATTGGAAAAAAAACATAATGTCATTACATCAATAATTACAAGTTTACTTCAGGACTATGTCTTTTGAAAGAGACACTATCACCTTGCCCATGCAGGGAAAAGTGACACTGTCTCCAAAGATTTGGAAGTGGAAAAAGAGTGCTGGACCTGTGTGATTATTCGGTTTTTATCATCCAATAGTGGTTAAGTGATGTGAATAGTTTAATCTGGCTACTGGATAGGCAGCTATCACTCACCTAAGGGTCTCTACAGTATCCCTAGCTTAATAGTGAACAAAGTAGATGTAGGAATTGAAATGCCATGCCAATTAAAATAGTCCAGATACAATTTTATTCTACTAGGGTCAGGGGACCGTTGAGTAGAATAGCAATGTGTTCAGGGATTCCCTCTTTACCTTAGCTCTGATAAGGGGGTGTTTTTGGACACCCAAAAATGCATTGGCTATTCTACTCGATTGTCCCCTGAACGTAGTGGAATAAAGTTGTATCTGGACTATTTTAATTGGTGTAGCACTTCAATTCCTACAACTACTGTCTCTGCAAAGGACATCCATGTCGCTCTTATGCTCACCTTACCTGGGACCCCTTTAGAGCACCTTTGTTTTATGTAGCCAGAGAGAATATTAGGCACTTATGGGAGAGCATGCACCTGTGGGGGTGCACATGTGAGGATGAATTTGTGGGAGTCAAGGGATTCCCTCTGCAGATACTCTGGGGTTGATTTACTAACCTTATAAACACGCCACAAACAAATATACACCTCTGTAGTGTGTTCCCTCCCAGCATGATCTATTGGTGGAATCTAGACACCTTTGTAGTGTGTACACACCCAGCAGGTGTGTTGTGCAAAGCCCTGCATGAATTGCAAGGTGATGTTGTGTAAATTAGCTCTACATTGTGTTGCTTGTGTTGATGAATGCAGGAATGTAAATGCATGAGCTAACCATTTTTGTCTAAACTGTGAAGCAGCATTATATATGCATCATGTGCATGATTTTTCCATATATGGCATTAGTGGAAATATGCTTTTAGAGACTTTTTGGTTGATAAATACGTTTTGCTATGTAAAAATCACACGCAACTAGTGCATGCGTGTGTTTAGGTTAGTAAATCACCCCCTCTGAGTCTGATTTAGGGAGTTGAGAATTTCCACACAAAGTGAAGATTCACTTCAATAATTAAAGATTCACTTCAATTATCAAATTATGTGAATATAAACGTCTTTATTAAAATCTATTTTATCTGCACATGACTCGATAATTGAAGGGAATACATTTTATTGTGACAAAGACAAGGTGACAAAGTCTCTTTAACCTATGAAAATGTCTTCTGTAAAATGTTTTAGACTGCATTAATGATATGTGAAAACATTATAGTAGATAAATATGTACTTAATTTATCTATTCAATATGGTAAATAAAATAACAAATTATCCAATATGCATATAGCTAATTTTTAGAAATAGAATTTGATCTGTTGACCATTGTATTTATTTATTTTCCTAAATCTGGTAATAAAATACAAAATGAAATCCTTCCACAGTGATACTAAATACTACATTTTCGTAACTCTAGTACTTCTTAATTATTTAAAAATCACTGTAGGAATAGAACTGTAATACTCTTCCATAACCACGAAGTCCAAAGAAATTCATATTTCAGACATACTGGGGTGGAATATATAGGCATGGGGACACTTTTAAAAAAAACCTTTAATTTTTGTATTGCAGAAAAAGCTTTCTACATTTTTATTTGTTTAAGTTTATGCCTTTATTGTTTTTAACTGTTTTCAGGTTGTCACTTCACATATTTTGATAAAGTCTAATTGTTATGCATAACAATAATAATAAGTTTTGAAATTATTCAAAAAATTGCAGCTGAGTAAATACGTATTTCATCGTTTCTATTGTAAGCTAAATTTTGAGCTGTCATTATTTAGTTCAGGTATCACACAGAAAGCAAATATGTAATTTATTTGTTTGCACATTGAAAAAAACAGCTGGTTATTTCTTTACAGTGTTGCTCATTTGTATAATGTAATAAAAAGCATGACAAAATATTTTACATAGCATAATGCAAGAAGGTATTCTTATACTGATGCAATTTATTGTACTTAAATGGATCAGCAACAAAGTGTAAAGTGGGTGATTTAATAAATGGCTTAAGGTGAAGCTGTGTGGAGCCTTAAAAGATGAAACATAAAATAATAAGTGCAGGTGGGGAGGCGGGGAATAAACTATTCCCCACAAAAAGGAAGGTTACTATGGAATGAAGTAAGAACAGTTATATATTGAACAGTTTTCTAAATGTTTCCTTACCCCTTTTGTCCCCCTCCCCATGCTAAGCTCATCTAACCTCCTCTCCCTATGCAGCATACATACCTAGTTCTTGCAGTCCAGCCATTTCCTCCCACAATGTTTACCTCCAGCCGGGTCTCTTTTTTCCACTGTCTGTACACGTGCATTATAACCCAGCAGTCTTCTTGAGGCAGGGAGATGGTCCAGCCAGCTGGAGGTAAATATTGTATTACTATGCAACTGGACCCAGGAAAGAACTAGGTAAGTACATAGTATGCAAGTATTCTTAACAAGCAGTATGTGAGCTTTAAAAAAAGCCTATATGTATTCCAGAATCCTGCTGCACACCTTACCAGGTATACCTGTCAGCGTGGGTGCTCGAAGTGACTGCAGATGGTGCCGCCAATAATGAAACTTGTTAAAGATGTCACCAGCACACCATATTAAAGTGAAGAACACATCTGTTTATTGACGCTTCATGTCAAAACAAATACCTATTAAACAGGCGCGTTCTTCATTTCAATATGGTGTGCTGGTGACATATTTAACAAACTTTAAAGACTTCACTAACCTCTGCAGTTACATCCACTGTAGAACAATTCATCTACAAACAATGAAATAATTCAGGTCAGCGGTTTTCTTTCTCCCTTTTTCTGGGAATATGATCTGTGCTTGCATTAGGGCCAGTGTTGACAAGCTTTGATGGGAAAATGAAGCACATCATTGACTTCCTTTTAAGACAAGTCTGAGATCATTCAGAATTCATTGCAGATACATTTAACCTGCAGTACACCTAGGCCCTTAGCTTAGATTAGAAGGTTGACAGGGAGGAGAGGAGGTGCAGAGAGAATTTGACAGTAAAACTGATAATCTTCACCTTTGACCACCTTCACTAAAATTTGAGTATGAATTACTCCAGAGTGATACCAGCTACAAAGGTCAACATCAAATTGTTTTAAAGTTTTTTTATGCTTATTAGAAATATATCAAAATTAAAATGACCACATCCAGCTGTACTTTAAGCTGGGAATAGACATAAGATGACTGGCATGATCTTATCAGTTAATTAGATTTTTGGAGGGGACATCTATGTAAACAGACATGTTCACTTGCATTATATTGAGGGAGAGAGAGTGTGTATGTGTGTGTATGTGTATGTGTATGCACTGAGCAGAAACAATAAAGGTCATACAGGTTTAATTATTATTACTGGGTTACATATTCTCTCAAAAATAATCAGCCTAGGGCATTTATTTTTATTTAAATGTTCCTATAGTCAGAAAAATCATCAACTGATATGACTAAAATAAAACAAACTTGGCACAGCTCATCTAATCCCAATACACCTTTTTGCTTTCCACTTTTGCAACCAAATATGAGAAACTCCCACTATATGTGGCCATTCACACAAAATATTTAACAATAATTAATTTTAAAATAGTGATTATAGTGGTTAGAATAGTTGGCCAT